TTGTTGCCTTGTACATGATGTCCTAATCCCTTATGTTATCGAAGAATTGCTTTTCCGTGAAATATTTAATCTTCTCTTTTGAAAAGGAAGGCAAGAATAAAATTGAAATAAAAGTTTTTAAAAAAAGAATAGTATTTATCGTTTGTATTGTAACCAGCGTCCCATGGCACTTGCAGTAAGTAATTGATGAACAATTATATTTTACTTTTAGTAAATAATATACTCATACGTGTATTACTTATTGTGTCAGTGTTCGCATTTCTTATAATAGTAAGAATTTGTGCATAGTGATCGCTGTATCCTAAATAGTTTGTTTCAATTTCATATCAAGAAGTGGTTTTGTTTATTATTATTTGATCAATTGCCTTCTTTGAATTTAGTGTAATCCGTGTAGGTAATATCTAAACATGTATTGTAATATCTAAACTAATGGAATTAATCAAATTAAGAAACTGCTATTTCGCACAAGATTCGATCAGAAAATCAATGATTTCTCCACATATAACAATGGATTCAACAGAGCGTTTGATGGCTTTATTTAGTGTTATCTCCAGTTTTTTTAAGAACATAATATATTCTACTGCTCTCTTTGTTGGAGGCCTGTAGATGCACAGTAATATCAATTTTAGCGTAGGAAGACATTTCAAAAACATTTTCAACAGAATTCACATTTAATTCCGTCAAGGAAATAGAATCGATATTATTTGGAACGTAAATGCAAGAACCCCTATAAGCAGGACCTTTATGTGATTCTTTTCTCTAGAATAATAGCATGCGAAGTGAAAATTTGGCATTTGGAAAATGCTAAGTTGATTATGAAATTACAAATGTCCTGTTAAGTAAAGAACATCTATTTGATTTAAATCGCTCTATAGAGCTGTTTCGATAAACTCAGTTCTATTTGAAAGGGAATGAACATGATGGTGCAGTGTGTTTATTTTAGGCAAGTACCTACACGGATGGTTTTCTACTGCATCTGACTGTAGTTGCTATATATTTACTCCTTTTGCTCCTCGAGTGCGTGGTCGAAGGTTGTTCGTAGTGTGTCCCGGCAGTGATAGGTTATGAGGAAACTGGGGCATCAGGTAGAGCATACGTAGAGTTCAGAAGGAGGTTAACACAAAGAGATAGCGAGATCACATTGTTACGTGGGACATATCAAGTCGTCAGCCTGCAATTTTAATTACGTGTAAGAAAATGATATACCGATTTTTGAAATGAAAACTAAAGAATTGGTACTGGGACAAGGTAAGTGGGTTTAAAATATGGATGGGGGTGGAGAACGTAAAAAGGTGAAAGGGATGGATTTTTGGCAGGAGACTGCGTAGGACTGGAGAAGGTGATGTGTTGTGCAAGTTTGTTGCCGACTGTGTTTCCAGCACTGGACTCCACAAACAGTGGCCCGTCTTCATGCACACTATGGTGTGGACTCGTCATCACTGATAACGGGTGTACGATAACGACTCGAAAACCCAATCTCAGTCGTCATAGTGTAGACATTCCATGTCACCGAGACCAATGAAAACCAAGTAGCAACGACAAAATGATGTTGACTCCTGCGATGTGGTACACCACAAGTATGCACCAGAATTCATCAGTAATTTTCTCCGTCCTACGTGATGCTATGCGGCGCTAGAAACGGGAGTAAGTTGTGGTCAACAGGAAATTGGCGCCTCCATCATGTCAATGCTCCAGCACATTCCTCTCACTTAATTCATACTTGTGAAAAACCAGACTCCAGTGGCATTCCAAAGAGGCTTTCTCGGAATGCTTCCAAGGATGGTGGCACCACTGGGAGGTGTGTGTAGTCGGCCAAAGGTCGGATACTTTTCTTACAGACCACGAACTTAGTAAAAACAAACTTGCAAATTGCCTAATTGATAAAAATGTTGTCTTGTTAAGTACATGAATTTATTGCCCAAGCTATCACTCCTTGTTCGTTAAAAGCATCACAATCAAGGTTTTTGTCACTACTCACACCATCTAAAATGTGTATATTTTTTTCTTTTTTGGTCTTTCTTGCATACTGAATATTTGTAATATTCTGTACGTAGTTACTTTTTTTAAAAACACATTTTTACACTTGTATTCACTGTTTTCATTTTTCATACAATCTGTTGGAAAATACTCTTAATTTTGGGGATAGTACAAATATCACATTTCCTTGAACAACATTTGAATTGCACATTTTAATTAAATCAAAATTGAAGTGATTGGGATCAGATAGTCCCACGCCACTATTTGCAAAAAATATTGAGGTGTTATACCCCATACAACCCTCAGCCTTCCAGTTTATTACTGTTTAAGAAACATTTTAAAATAAAACTAGCTTACCAATTCACTTTACCACTTCCCTGATAATCTGTTTTCTTTGAAGTTCAGTTCAGTTTCTACTTAAGAATTCAAAATTATTAATTTACAACGGTTTTTGAAAAAAACACAATCATTACAGAAGTCTTTCATGTTAACTTGGATCAAATTTCATGAAAAACTTAAAAAAAAAAAAACAATTGGGAGAGAGTGTTATGATGTTCAGTCAACATTAAATGAGGACACATAAAAAATTAATTTATTGGAAATGATTTTGAACATTTGATGGGTTTTTGTATGTGTAGTATTCAGACTATATTCATTTAATTGAACACCAACATATCACCACAATATAGGCTCTTTACAAGCACAACAGGAAACATATACTGAGAATTCAATTAAGATTGATAAAATTAACCCCAAAATTATTGTCTTAGACAATATTAAAATGAGAAGATTTTTTTTATATTTTTAAAGAAAATAATAATTTGAAGTAGATTTTTTAAATTTTATTTTTATTTACTCCATGATGTATATTGCATAACACAAAATTATTTATATCACAGAAGAAACAAAAATCTTACTTTAATTAATTATTTTCTTTAAATAAAAAATGATACTCCCCTTCTAAATACTGAGAATGTACCAAACTAAAAACTCTGTTAACAGATGAAACGTGACAGACTAATGGGACCTTCAATAATAGGAATTGACAGAATAATAGAGCACTGTACATATTTGAAATATTCTGTACATAGTCACTTTTTTGAGAAAATTTTACACTTGTCTTCTCTGCTTTAATTTTTCATATAATTTGGAAGAAAATATTCTTAATTTTGGAGATCCACATAGGCCTATAGTACACAATAGATTTCCTTTCCTCCATACAAGACCCAATTCCATAATTATTTCTTAAACACTCATTCACATACTTCCAAATTTTACCCCAAAATTTCTATCATCAAGAGGCTTCTCCCTGTAAAAATAAAGGAAATGGCCATTGAGTTTTTCAAATGCAATCAATCACTAACCACAACACAAAATATTATATTTATAATATATACAAATCTGCTTCTCTTTTATAGTCAGTGTAAATATGCTTACAAGTAAACCACTTTTAATTTTCAATAGACCCTACTTTGCATAAAGTTAGATTGTATAATAATATTTGTATAAGTATAATAAATATTTGCAAAATTCACATTATGTAAAATAATATTCAAGAAAAAATTAAGTACAGATTCAATTACTGATGTTTATAGTGATTATTTATTCTTATGACATGTTCGAAGCAAACCAACTTAATAAATATTGTAGACAAGGCAGCTTACCTCTATAAATATCGCCACAGCCAGGATATCAAACTGAGCAATTCTTTCTTCTCTTCGTGAATATTTTTTACTTCTCTCACTTTCTACAATTCTTCTTAGCACATTCATTGCAGGGCTTTTCGTCTAATCACGACGCATCGATGAAAATGCCAAGCAAAATATAAAATAACAATACATTTCCAAAGCAAAACCACAATTGAATTCGCTTGCAGAACAAAAACTTCGAAATGGTACGCGCTAGCATCAACCAGAGCATCAACTCTCTCGGGCCCCACTCAGCTGTTTGCCGGCTGTTTGCCGCATGTTGCAGAGCAGCAATGCCACCTAAAACATTTAGGAGGTACCGAGTGGAGTGAAGTTGACTTCTCTCGCTTTATCAAGCATGCCAATATCCAGCGAAAAAAACCTGTGGACCTCGTAGGCTGTAATGCTTCCATTGCGTAGGGGAATGAAGTTGAAGATGACGCCTACTGCGCTTCAACTTAAATCGTAACCAAAAGTAAGCCAATTAAGGAAGTATGGTTGGTTATTTACATAAGGTTGGTATGGAAGGGACGAGTTAGTTCGGGTGAATGTCCTGTAGATGTCTCTGGAAGATTCGGAGCGGCGATACTCCGTCATGAACGTCAGCGCTGCGATTTTACAACAATTCTCTCTTCGCTCTTACATACTCTATTGAGTATATAACTACCAGGGCCCGGCAACTCTCCATCAAAATTGGGGACAAAGCTAGAGGTTGCTACTATAATATGCGCTAGTGCCACCTGATATAGCTGCTGGTAAGACTCGCCAACTTTCGCACATAAAAATTGGTCAAGAAATACGAATACACTTTGATTATGAGCGATTTCTGAAATAAATTACAAAAGAAGTTAATTACTACGTGTTTATCTTCTAAAATTCATTTATTCATAATAATACACGCATGAAAGAAAAGGTAGCGCGAACAGCGGCGCGATCTTTTGTATCAAACGCGTGCGTTTGCGTCCCGAGAACCCACGCGTTTTAAATAACGTTGGTAGCAGATCGTATTTTAGTTCGTGTAAGAACGTGATGCTCTAGAGCGCGCCACTGTAATGGTCCCCCACGTTATATGGGAGTTATAGGGCCCTGTATATCTACTCTTTGCTCTAATCTTTTATCGCTGCTGCAAGATAAACGTACGCAGAGTATATATGAACGGAAGATAAAAATAGCGGCAAGTTTGGGAAGTGTTTGCTTAGATTATCTTTTTTTTTTACCCTTTCTAATGGTTGAGAGTAGAATGTGAACTATCAATGTGTTTTTTTAAAATATCCTTCTCTTCTGAATTGCTGATTTGCACACGCCAGTCTTTGTACCAAGTGTCTGCATATCCTTTCAATCAGTGAGGTAATTGTGAAACAAAATCCCAGCGAAAATTATCGAGTTTCCCTAAATATTAATACAAAGCCATTCGTTTGGGATTCTCTTTACTGTTCTATTCGAGATTATTGGTCCAAATTGCCTGACAAATATGGTGAACATTGAGAATAAGTCCACAAATATAATTAGGCATTACAGCATCATGAAATCTTTGCAACTTGTTAAGTTGACTTTTACGAGTTTCACGATTTGGAAATGTAATAACAAAACCTAATAAACTAAGCTTAATCTGTGAATATTAATGAATCCTTTTATTTTATTTGAATTAGTTATTTAGGAGAAAAGCTCATCTTATATTCTGGTAGTTATTTTGTGGAAGCAGTAATGCCAATGGACAAACTTGTGTACTATTGAATATGCCACACAGAAGCAACATCTACAGGCTTCATTATAGTGAGATAGCCCAATGAACACAATTAACATGGCATTATATGAATAGTTTACACAAAAACTAACATTTTCTTACTTTGGCATTCAGTTGTTCAAACCGTGTATTTATTGTACCACAGACACCTAGTGCCTTTCAAAATTTCACATCTTACATGGTTACCTACTAATATTGCCAGGCCTATTCTGTTAGTACTGTTCACTCCATACTCATCAGGATTACCATTACATAACCTGGATCAAGTGCTTCTTCTGTTTCCATGGAAGGACCTTTTAACGATATACAAGGTTGTACTGTGTAACAAGATAATTTTTGTTGAAATAATTCATATTTAGGTTTTTTTAACTTAAAAATATTAACCTCCCCCCCCCCCCCCTTAATACTTCGACTCCTAGAAGTATGCCTGTACAGCCAGTGGAATCCATTCCTGTATGCTATGAACATGTTTGTGTATCCCAACTTGCCCTTAGTGTTATGGATGTACACACACACACACACCCGCTACCGTTTGCTTTATTTCATTTCATAAATATCTTTTATTATGCTTCTGTGACAACATCAAGAGTTGTTATATGGTCCTTCCATGCAAAGAGAAGGAAGGTCTTTTCTTGGGTCTGGACATCCATCCAAGACTATGCTCGCACTAAGTGCTAAGCTCAGCAGACTGCACCCCCCGCGGATGAATCAGTCCAGTGAATATGCCAGTAGCATACTGCAATTAGCAGTCACATGGTTGAAAATATGAGAAACATTACTCACTAGCAGTGGTGGAGTAAGTTTCCATTTCAGTACTACAGAAAGTAATGGTTAGCTATGATTAAGAGTCAATAAGATTTTTATTATCTAACCAATATTTTATGACACTTAAAATAACAACACAGAGTATTTACAATAATTCACCCATTTACCATTTCTGGTTTCCATGAAGGTTCACTTCCCTGATAATGGAGAGAAGATGCAAAGACTAGTTTTCTGCTTGCTGTTAACAAGACCAAATAGTAGGGGCATGATGACAATTGTGGACAACACTGATTGGTGATGTTGACAGCAACGGAATGATGAAAATGTAGTAAAATAGCTACACACCAATTTTTAAATTAAATGAACATCAGTCTTCTGAAGCTTGCATCTGGATATTGTAGCAAAAATTCTACTAGAGTGAGAACTTTATTTACATGTATATTGCTGTGGTTCTAATGTACAAATCTCTCAATGTTGTAATATTTTGAAGACACTCAGTGACAGCAAATGTTCCTAGTGTCATTCATCACTATTTCTAATAATTGTGCTGCACATCTCATTTGGCAGTAGCTATTTGTTTCATTCGATTAAGGGCACTTCCTGCTCTGAACCATTCAATTTGTTGTTCATTCATTGTGTGGTTCAAGGTAATAGCATCTACTTTCCCATCAGAATGCTTGATTTCAGCTTTGACTGGCTGCAAATGAATGAAACGTGTAAAGCATAAAATTATACAAACAACAAGATTTATATAAATACAATTCTCTTTTGGTGCTTTCTTAACTCTGATAAAAATATTTTCAGTGTTTGCTGGTTTATATTTTCTGTTATGCTAATTCTTTGAACATGTGTAGTGCAAAGAGGTATTTCCCCACTAAGCTTTTCACCTACACCTTTTGGAAGTTTACTAGCATGCAACTTGCAAGTTTGCTCCAGCTTTTGGTATAATGTTAGATAAATTTTCTTTGATGACAAAGCTAACAATTTTCAAACAAATTTTGATGATATAATTACCTTCCCTGGTGCCAAGTCCTTCAAACCCAACAAAGAAATCTTATCAGTGGGCTGAATCTTATCATAGTCAGCTGGGTTGGCAAATGTAAGAGGCAAGAGCCCTTGCTTCTTTAAGTTGGTCTCATGGATTCTGGCAAAGGACTTGACAATAATTGCTCGACCACCTAGGTGGCGGGGTTCCAAGGCAGCATGCTCCCTGCTGCTGCCCTCACCTGCAGAATTACATTAATTATACCATTACAAAAATTAAGGTAACTCCATTGGAGAAAGTACAATAGTGCAATCACACCTGCCTCAGCTTCTTAACCAGGGATTCCCAACCTCCTCGTTTGATGGACCTCTTTTTAACATATTGTTTGCTTAATCAATCCCATTTCTCTACAATATATAGCATCCATAATCATGACAAGGAATTGCACATAAATGCATTAAAGATAATTTCGTACACCAATATTTTCTTGTAAATATTTCCACTCTTTCGTAGTCAAAGTTGCTTCCACTTTTGACTAACAGAGTATTAATCTCCATCGAAATACAATGGTTTCATTATGTTCAGGTGTGTGTGTGTGTGTGTGTTTTAATTGGCCATTACCTTTCTCCCATGCATATTGCAAAGAGTACTTTCTACTGTGATACAGCATCATTATATTTGTAATGTAGTAATGTAACGTAATTTCTTGAATTTTCTACACCTCTTAATTTCTAAGAATGAGCGATGGAAATGAGGAAAGAAGCCAATTTGCAATTTATTATGATCTGTTTTGTTGCTTTATATGAAAAAAAATTTAATTTAGTTCATTAATATTGTTTGGTAGTCAATGCAATCTTGATTATCCTGTTAAGGTGTCGGTTGCCCATTGACCTTCCAATCAACCCCTTCAAAATTTGAAAGAAAGAAAAAAGAAAGGTACGACTTGGACTTCCCAGTGGTCCCTAGAAACCCTTTGAAACTTCCCTAGGTCCCTTTGAAACTTCTTTCCCAAGTTCTGTAAGTAAGTTGTAAGAAATGGTTTTGATGAAGAACCACAATAAAAGCAAGAGCGGTCTTATGCATGTTTATTTTAAATAAGAACAATCTATTTTTGCTAATTCATATTCTAGTCTTGGAACCACAAGAGATACTGCTTTTCACCTTTATTATTTCCTGTGTAGTTCAAATAATGTGACTTACGTTCATTTGAATTTTCCCTAAGTTCAAAATGTAGTCAAATTCTGCCATTTTTTCTGCTCAGAATGGTAGAAAACCCCTAATTCCTTACATATCAAAAATGCCAGATAGATCAATCTTACCATAATTTTCATCACCAACAGCAACCCACTTCACACCCTTTGCTTTGTAAGCTCTAGCAACATCTGGTACAGTTCCCCAGTCACCAGACAGCTGATTTTTAATCTTGTTCATTTCATTATTTTCAGAATTTGTGGCACTAAAAAAGGAATACAGTGAACAGTTAGAAAACAAGGTACAGTTTCAAAATGTGTTAAACACATTAAATTTGTAGGGTGAACTGACTTCTGATCAGCTGGGATGATGTTATCCAATTGCAATCTTCAATAACAAAAATGACAGTATTTACCCAATATAAGTCGATCTCGATAATATAAGACAACCCCCTAATTTTGAAGAGGCCTTATGCGACTTAAATTTTTTTGAACTAATTCTTACAATTTAGTCAAATAAATTACAAAATGTCTTACTGACTAGAAAATTGCCTTGTTGATAATGTTAAAGAGTTACTGTTTAACTACTATTTTCTTGTTCCTTAATATCATCATAATCCTATTTTTTGTCGCTACCCTCATCATCTTCACATGCAACAATGCTTCTTTCTTTTTGCTCCTCCTTCCATGCTGTGACATTTTCCGACTTTTCAGGGTCTTCTTGAAAGTTTTGGAGACTAAATGTTGCGTTGTTCATCGTCTTTCATCAGATGCGATCTAAGAACATTCCTTCTGACACCAGATTTTCTTTCTGTCCTGCATTTGTTGATGGTCTGTTTCTATTCAAAAAACTGTATTTGCCATACGTCGAACCAAGATACTGCGTGGCCTCCTCAAACCCGCATCATATAACAAACACTCGCATTAATTTTCACGTTACATTTCATTTGATACATTGTTATTCGGTTAGAGTTTCTGGTCACTGGTCCATTGAAAAATATTGGTCTGAACTGCCCGACAAATTCGCGGTGGATGCCGAGAATATAAACACGAATATATTTAAGTATTGTCACATGCAATATTTTTACAGTATTCACAGTTTTTGTCATCAGTTTATGTACAAGTTTTGTGACATGGAATGGCAATGTAAAAACTTAAGTTCTAACCAACTAGGTTTGATCTGCGAATATAAGACAATCCTGCATTTTTTCGACATATTTTGGAAAAAGCCTTGTCTTATAATCGGGTAAATATGGTAAGTAGTAACGAAGTACCAGATTGGATAACTGGAAATTCCAACCGATTGCTGTCAATTTGCCATTCATTTTAATGTAAGTTTATAAGATTTTCAAATATGTTCTTTGATGTTGAAAACAAGTAGTTAAGAATTATTAGGGATGAGTGCTAAATTTTGTTGCAGTAGAGGAAGGGCTTCAGAACAGGTATGCACGGGGAATTATTTCATTTACTGTACATTTGCATGGCATTAAGCTATGCACCTCTGGCCGAAGGTTACATTTATTAAGGTGGTACACAAAAAGATGACTGGAATCATGCCCTGAGACTTTTCTATTCTCAAATTATCTGATTCTCAAGTCAGCAATTGGCACACTTGGTGGTGGGCAGTTGGCGCTATGCAATACACATCTAGTCAAGGACAACACAAGTTTATCTTCACTTTCCAGCCTCCGCAGTTGTTGACTGCATCAATGGGTGTAATAATGCAATGTGATGACCTTAGGTCAGATTCTGAGCAATGTCAAGTTAAACACAGACTGAGACAGTACTGATCTTAGGTTGAGTCAAGTACAGCCCAAAACCCTCTCCTCGGCTGAGCTGCTGCCAAAATGAAGTCTCATGTCACAGAGACAGATCTAAAACTGACCTACAGATATAGTCCTTGCAGAGAATATTTCTCCGAAGCCACACAGCCAATTACGTTACTGTTACATGAACTCCATTTAATAAAAGTATTTTTGCTCTTGGAGACAAACAGGAATTCTGGCTACATAATGGGCTGAAGGAGATTTCCCCTCTCCAAATAAGAGCACCTGAATTTATCCATTTTCCTCGTTATCAGGGCTCCGAATTTTTTTTCTGACGAAAATCTGCTGATATTATTATTATTCCCTCCCCCTCCCCCAGCAATACATAACCTTCTCTATACTATGTACTTATACGAGAAAGTAAAAATGGTTCTGTTTTAAGTTACACCATTTAATTCCACAGGCCAAAGAAATTTTCTGATTAAAGCAGGTTTCTGGCTTGGATACATTTCAATGAACTTTTAACTTGATATTTGCATTTATAGGGTCTATTTGATTGAAATGTAAACTGTGAATTCATAATCCCAATACCCCACAAAATCTTAGCTATCATTTCCATTCATTTTCACACTGCATTTCACTTACTACAAGACAAACTGTATGAGATCTCTTTCCTGGTGTGCTGGATCATCTACTTTGGAGGGGAAGAAAATGTCTAAATAGAATTAAGATTTAGATACATCTGGCTTACTGTTGCAATTGCAACTTCATTATACATTAATGTGAAAGTTTCTGAACAGGAAAGACATTGAATCTAACCATCTAAACATATTGCTGAATGTAAGTAACTCAGTAATTTTCTAATGATTTTCATATTTAGGAAAATTCTCATCTTATATTTGGGTAAACACCTTCTGACAAATAAGAATTTCAAAAACTTTGAGATGTTCAATGTAATTTGAAATAATTCTCTCTTTCTTAAGAGCAGAGGAGACCATGATATGCGAACTTTAAAAGCTAATAGTTTATATATGAAATATATAAAATATGAAAATTATGTGTTCCCTCCAACATTTGTCATGTTATGTAACATCATTGAATACTGTTGATTTTAGACATACATCAAAATTTTTTTTCTTCCCCGCCTATTGTAACTAATTAATGAGCTAATTTTTGCCCATTGAATCCAACCTCTATGTACTCTGACATATCTTTCTTTTGAATATTACCTGCACACTAATTTTCTGGTAAGGAATTATGAAAAAGACTTTTCTCACATTTTTTCACTTTTATTGCAAAAATGTCTGTCCTCAAAAGGCCTGTCTTCACTTCTGGCATTATGTGAGGCATTTTGCATCTTTCTCGGTTGTGCCGCTAATGTTATGACCGTATCAAGCGTGAGGTTTGCGATCAGGCCACATCTAGCTGCATGACTGAGAAAGACATGAAATGACATGAGATATTCCATCGTGATGGCAGACCCTGATGCACCACATTTATAGAAGCCTAAGTATAACCCATGCTGCCATATGACAACGTACAACACAAGTTCAGCTATCAATTTCTGAAGAAAAAAATACACGGGTTATATTTGAGTATATATGCATTATTAATTTCAGATTACAAATGGATTATTAACCTTAAATTAATATATGCCAGAAGCAAAGACTTTAAAGGCAATATTTTTCTGCAGAAAAGTATTTAACTTTAAAATAATACATTCTCACCCAATGAACATGTTGTTTGAAATATTGTCCAGGTGACCTCTGTATTTCAGCCAAGGACCAGCTGCAGAAATGTGATCTGTAGTACATTTTCCTTTCACCTAAAATAACAATGTGTGTTATCTCTTCAGTCCTGAATTGTTAGACATTGCAATAAATTTGTTCATACAATTAAAAATGACAAGACATTATTAATACAAATGATCTTCCCCTTCCCTGTCCTCAGTTACTTTTATAGGACTAGCACAGTACAATCTTGTGTACATTTCGTGCTTTGAATATTCATACAAACTACAACCTATTTTTCACTGAATGATTTTCTACCAATGAATGAATTAATATTGTTTGAATTAGTTGGTATTCTCACTTCAGTTTCTAATTAATTGCTTCATACTATGCATGCGTTGAAATTACCTTGATGAGGACAGTCAAATCCTGAAGGTCCTTTCCATCCCAAACGTCAAAAGGTTCAAGCAATTGCAATCTCTGACTCTTGGGGTCAACATCGACTTTCACTTTGCCACCATCAGCTGGTGGATGCTCGTAAGTGTCTTCACCAGGATCAAATCCTCTCTGAGGCAGCTCATCTCCATAGGGGCTATCCAGTGAAAACTCTTTACCTAAAAAAGAACAAAGAACATGGACCAGTAGACAGTAAAACCCCATTTTTACGTTCCCACATTTTACATTTCCTTGCCTTTCACATAATTTTTCATTTGTCCTGTCAAAAAGCCCGTATTTACAATGCATCCTCTTTCCGCAATTTACAACTTGACACGAAGAGTGCTTCCCATCTTACACATCTTTCTTTTAAATCTTATTTTTAATACTTTCTTGTACACATATGTATTATACCTAGTACAGAGAAAGTTATGTGATACTGCGACAGAAAAAACTTTTACTGATACAGAAAAAGTGGATAAATCCTGTTCAAGTACGTAGTTAATTTTTACAGATGTACGTAAGGAACTCTCAAAAGCCTTGAGACGAATTGACGCTGTCAATCTATTTTCCTGTTTCAAGGACACGTAAAACTGGGAATGAGGTTACACATGTTAAGGGTAAGTAATTTTCTATATATAGGAATATGATTTATCCACCTTGTCATTACCACGGTCCATCAATAAGATTTTTTGGAGAAAATTGCTGATTCCAGTGAACATTTTTACTTTCTTTTCTTACGAAGGGCGAGAAAGTGATAAAAGAGCTACCTTTGCAGTAAATAATGAAAGTACTCTCCAGTAGCCTATAATTTTTCAACTTTCCTGCATTTTAAACTTTTTTCATTGGTCCCCTGAAAAGTGGGAGGAAAAAGGGGGGGTTTATAATATTATTCTATCCTCTTTAGTAAAACACAAACTATAATACCGACTTAACTTATAACTACTGAATATAAGGTCAGGATTTTCTTGACAATCTCATTCAGAAAGCAAGAAATATCGCAGATGAAGCCCAATCCGTTAAGAATCTCATTTTTGCACTGCATTTCCATGCCAAGAAGAAACATTAATGCTGATGCAACAATAAGCCACAAAGGTGATAAAGATCTAGCATATCTGTAATACTTTTTTATATTCACATATGTATTGCCAGAAACTGCATTTGCCAAGCAATTTCTTGCTTACATTTTTGAATGGGTTGGTAAACAGATAATCTTAAAAGAATGACATTGTAGTGAGAACTCATGTGAAAATGAATGCAAATCACTGCTGAGATTTTGTTACTTGATCAAAGCTGTAAGGACTCTTGGTTCGATGCCTGGCAAGTGAAATCAGCACTCTTCAATTTTTTGAAGATGGAAATGAAATAAAGCACATTCTACGCGATACTAAGTTTTGACATTTTCATCAAGACAATTTTCTAGTCATTTGACTGCAATTATTTTACTATAAAATAAGAATTAAGTTTTAAAAACCATTATAATTTTCAGGGGGCATTCTCTCTTGGAAGTTAAAGAGTGTGGCCTTATGCTCAGATAAATACGAAATAACAAAAATTAGAAATAAACAGGTCGAAGTTAATGTTGAGTAAATACATATGCCTACATAAACAGTAAAAATGATTACAGATTTTTGTAGATTCTCACCATCTGTTCCTTTAAGTTTATCTTTAGTAGGATCGAAGTCCAATGTTCCAGCAATTGAAAGCGCAGTTACAAGCTCAGGAGATGTAACAAAGGCATGAGTAGCAGGATTTGCATCATTTCTTCCAGTGAAGTTTCGATTATAGCTAGAGACAATGGTGTTCTTTTCTCCTTTTTTCACATCCTTACGGTCCCACTGACCAATGCAAGGTCCACAAGCATTTGCAAGCACAGTGCCACCAAAGTCACGCAGAGTCTTAGCCTGAATGACAAAAAAATATACATCACATAAAAGCAGTTTAGAACAGAGATCAGAATTTAACTGACATATACTTACTATTCCGTCTCGCTCAATTGTAGCACGAATTTGTTCTGAACCTGGTGTAACATTAAAGGGAATTTTGGCCTTTAAACCATGGTCCATAGCCTGCTTCACAATACTGGCACACCTCCCCATATCTTCATAACTGGAGTTTGTGCAACTGCCAATAAGTCCTAACAGTAATAAGACACCCACAAGTGAATTAAGAAACAAACTAATTTCATATCCTACTGCATGCATGCAACAGATTTCTTACCAACTCTGATATCCACTGGCCACCCCTTCTCCTTGGCAGTTTTGCCCACTTTCGAAATGGGATGGGCTAAATCTGGAGTGAATGGGCCATTGATGTGGGGCTCCAAAGTGCTCAGGTCAAGTTCGATGACCTATGGAGTTTGCAAATAAAGAGAAAATCAACAAAAAAGATTTTTCACTTTTTGTTTCTTATCATATACATCAAACATCAGGGAAAGCTAAGCTCTTCTTTTCAAGGGTGGAAAATATATTTAAAAAAGGATTGCTTCTTAAAAAGTGATGTTAATATTTTCAGCATTATAGGCCACAAATGGGAAGTTCCTAATCAGTCAATATGGCAAGAACTGCAACAATTTGACCAGCAGGAATTTTCTACTTGTAATCTTGAAAATTAGGTCATAATAATGGATACAGTCTAGCAACTAGGGAGCAAGTTAGGACCAAATTTACAAAACTGGACATAAAATTTTCAAAATCAAGTTACATACGACATCATATGCAGGATGGTTGTAATTAAACTTTCCCAATATATATTGAAAGTGGATCCAATGGCCACCTTGATGAAATGATGGCTTCCATTTACAGCAGTTTTTTATGGAACAGGTATTTCTATACAAGACCCATGATAAATTTGCCACATTTATGTGGCTATCTGGCTCTGTGGCCCGACATTTTGTAGATTGATCTCCATTAAGCAGTTATCACTAGTGATTTTGAACTGTTATAGAACAAGAAGCTGAAGAGCTCGGGAGGTATGGTTGATACAGAATCTTCTTGCTTCAAGATGCATATCAGATTACTTACAAGATTGACATTTCAAGTACCTTAACTGAGAGGGGGATTAAATTGTTTCAGATAACAAAGATGATTATAAAAATAATTACTCTCTGAAGTAGCTATGCATTTGTTTTACACACAGCACTCTTGTGAAGTTTGCTGACCTTTAGCTCCCCTCTGCGAGAACTTTACAATACCCTCCAAAGCATATCTAACGTGGAAATCTGATCTAAAGATCATTATATACTCTTAAGCTTTCGCAGCTTGAATTCATGACTTCTTGGCTGCCCCGTGACAGGTAAAATATCAACCTCTCAACTAACGAGGCATCACCTGAACAGCCAAGACGTCCTGATGGTCATTGACAACTTCATTTTGACACCCCTTCTCACAGAATGTGAACCCCATTTTAAAGTCTAGTTAGCTTGAGAGTGTCCTTCAGTCAGGTAGGGAATTAAGGTTTGCAAATAAGAGAATAAATGACAAGCAAGTAATGCCAGAAAATGAGAAGGGGTATTCAAAAGATTTTTACTGACGTCATTAGCATTAATGTAATTAAAAAAAGGGCATCCTTTCAGGATATTTCAAAACATGTGCAGCTTCAAAGAGATGAAGAAACCTTAACCTCTTCGGGACTTCCTTGATGAATAAGTTAACAAAGCCATGAGTAAACAGACTTATCTTCTCAAAGCAAGTAGACCAGATGTACACTTGCCATAACCTCTAACTTATGATTGAGCGACCACCTCTGTTAAAGGCTAATTTTTGCTAGAAGCATTAGTGACAGCAGAAGACTGGTCTCACTGTATTACCTTCTCAACAAGTGAAACTACTTTTAATAAGGGCATCAAACGCGGAAGGAATAATGTCTAAGTCATGGGCGGCTATTCCCATGTGTCTTACCATTAAAATTTCTGGGTTTTATCCCATATCATAATGAGTTGACTCCTATGTCGGGAAATCAGTTAACAAAACCTAAGAACAGTGATGGGAAGGAGGGTATACAATTTACTTAGTTCAAATGATAATTTGAAATGATGCATACATTTTTAGCATATACTTTTATTAATTTGTAGGCTGAAAGCTCTAACCTTGTCACTCAACTTGAGACTTGGTGAAGCATCAAAATTTCAAGTCAAGTGTTTCTGCACACCAACTCCATTTGACCACTGTTGAAAAGCAGAGCTGGCTGCCCACAGAGCCCTTGCAATTCCCTTATGTAAAGATGACATACCGCAATGAAGGGCAAGTAATAATTGAGATAAATGAACATATTGGTAATGAAAATATTGAACTGCAATTTAAGTAGTTTCTCTTTATCAAAAAAGGCAGTGATCTAACTACAACTAGCAGCAAAAATGTCAGCCACACAGAAGTAACAAGGTAGCTCAATGCAGGATGTAGCCACAGACAAAAAGGACCAGATTTTCTTCTTCAGACTATTAGATCGCGTGTTAACAATGTCGCTGCAAAAAGGAAGTTTCAGTTTGTGATGAATCCAATGATTAAGTGATACACTGATGTAGTATCAGTGAGAATAAATATATGTTAAGCAAATAAATATTTTTGTTTTAAAAATTTCAATGTTTAATCAATATTCATAAAAACATGTCTTACAAAATTTATGTATTGTAGGCATTAATTTTTTTAAAACCTTATTCAATTACATACAGTAAAACGCCTCTTTTATAATTTTCAGAGGTTAAAGTGTAAAATGCAGGAAAGTGTATAACACAGGAAAGTTTAAAAACGATAGACTAGGTGAGTACTTTCATTATTTACTGCAATTCTTTCTCATAAGAATTTCAATTCGTGAGGGTCAATGAAACCGCAAAGTCGATTGACGCTTGTTTTCCAGCTAAACACATCTGTTTGCCTGTCTGTGGTCAACGCAAGCGCCTAAACTGCCAGCCTCTTTTTTCCAAAATTGATATTCCTTGATTGATCTGAACAAACGCAAGGCTTTTGCGAGTTCTTTACATATATTTGTACTAATTTACTACATATAGAAAAAGTGGATAAATCCTGTTTCAATATCAGTATAAGTTTTTCTGTCGAAAAATCACCGTTTTTTGTCGCAGCATTCCATAACTTTTTCAGCATTATAAAACGTACGTATGAGACAGTAAAAAAATAATTATTTTTTTTAAAAAAGACGCAAAGGGCAGGAAGCACTCTTCATATGAAGTTGTAAATTGCAGTAAGAGAATGCATTGTAAATACAGGCTTTACAACGGGACCAACAAAAAATTACGTAAAAGGCAGGAAAATAAAATGCGGAAATGTAAAAACGGGGCTTTACTGTACTATCACATAATTCACTTAAGAATATCATGTGAATATAAGGGATCAGAATTCTAGACCTTCTCCCCTAGGCCATGAAAAGAGAGAGACCTCTCCTTTTCAGTAATTAAACAAAACAGCGCACATGGAGAATGATGTTCACAGGTTTTGGGTGATAACGCAGCATCAGATGGAATTTATTTCCTGACGGTCTTGGTACAGGAAAGGAGTTCCTATGCACACTGCACTGCCAAGTCTCTAAATGGCTGGTGCAAGCAATGTCATTATTTGATATGTAATTGTTAAATAACTTCCGCTTATTAATAGTTAATACTCCAGCAATCCAATTTTAAAAACCTTAATGAAATGTATAAATGGAAAAAGCTGTACAATTAATAAAATTATTAAAATTGTCCTTTATATATAAGAACTAAAATTGATTGTGCTTCAACAATTGTTGAGGCCCTGTATTGTATTTAATTTCACTCCTCTGGGGCCCCCTCCGAGGTAGGGCTATTACTCGGCTGCCTAGTGCCCTTAGTCAGAAGACTGCCCTTTGGCAGACATTTAATGAATGTAACTATCATGACATAGTCAGGAAGTCAGGAACTCACAGCAATTGCCATCCTTTGTTCCTAGTGTTTTACCTGATCATAAGGAGCACCAGCATCAGCTGTAAGAAGAGTCTTTGAAAACTTATCAGCTTCACTTGCAATGTCTTTTCTACCAGTAGCTTTCAGATAGTCTTGCATTCGTCGATTGTAAGGGAAAATAGAAGTAGTTGCACCAATTTCAGCACCCATGTTGCAGATAGTTGCCATTCCTGGAATAGACAGTCTTAATATATCATGAAACAAAGTGATTATCCACATTGTTATTACAGAAATTATTTAATAATGACAGACTAATAACCTGTGCAGGAAATGGAATCAACTCCAGGGCCAAAATACTCGATAATAGCACCAGTTCCTCCTTTCACAGTTAAAATTCCAGCAACCTTGAGAATTACATCCTTGGGAGATGTCCATCCCTTCAACTCTCCAGTCAATTTAACACCAATAACCTGCAAAGAACCATTCATTGTTGTTGTTTTTTTTTTCATTCAGTAATCATTAGTTGTGATAGTCATAATTATAAATCAATAATTTTTTCATTTGTTTTGAAAATATATGCTCTTTACTAACTTTGGGACACTTCAGTTCCCATGGAATATTAGCCATTACATCAACAGCATCAGCACCACCTACACCAATGCACAGGCAACCAAGACCACCACCATTTGGTGTGTGGGAATCTGTTCCTATCATCAACAAGCCTGGAAATGCATAGTTTTCCAAAATTATCTGCAACACAAACACAGTTTTTAGAAAACGCAAAACAATCAACATACTACTCACATTTTACCGATTAACTTTCTTAACTTACTTGATGAATGATTCCTGAACCTGGTTTCCAAAATCCTACTCCATATTTTGCTCCTGCAGATTTTAGAAAATTGTATACTTCTTTGTTCAGGTCCTTTGCTCGTGCCAAGTCTTTCTCACCTCCCACCTGACCATTAAGAGAAAGCATTTTAATTAAATACTCAAATTCAACTTGTTCTGAATTATTTAACATTTGAGGTGGCAGAGATAAACATCTCTAAGTTTACATTTTATACTGCAATTCTTGCTATAAACACTAGCATTTCAGATATCCTAGTTACAAATTGAAAGCAAAGGAACTTTTTATTTTAATAAAAATTTTGTAACAATTTCATTACACCCAAGTATTAAATAAGTATTACTATAACTTTTTATTCTCTGGTTCAATAACATTCAATGTGTAAATGCCCCTTTCAGAATTCAGCCACAATTCTAATCGCATTATTGTTCTGTACTGGCAGGACCTTAATCTAATGTAACATTCACAATATTACTAAAATAATATACTTATAAGTAACTACCTGAGCCTCAATTAAATGATCACAATGGATGGTGGATGGCACTGCAACACGAGGTAAACCAGATGAAATAAACTGCAACATTGCCATTTGTGCAGTAGCATCCTGCATAGCTACTCGATCAGGTCGTAATCTCAGGTAACTTGTCCCACGTTCAATTTCTTGACTGGTAGGTTCATCAATATGAGAATAGAGAACCTTTTCTGATAGAGTTAATGGTCGATTTAACCTGTATACAAATTATGTAAAACATGAACAGCATGTGCTAACATAATAAAATAAACTTGTCACCCAGAATTATTAAATTATAATCGTTCACCTTTTCTTAACTATATTAACATTCTGTTGGAGTTTTTCGTACGGTAAATATGACGTAGAATCAAATTTGCTCATTGCAACCTTGCTGGCTGCAGCAACCAATGGGGACACATGGAAGCATCGTTGCTGGACTTCGACAGCCAACAACGAATAGCTCTGAAATATTAACCATTTGTAGATATTAACAGCCCTGAAATTTTCAGACATTTCTTGAAAGAAATGATGGAGCATATTACAAAAAACAATATTAAAAGCTTTAATATTTAAGCCACAATAAAGGTATTTATTCATCAGTATTACAATTCGTTAACAGAGGTTGGGTCTCTTTCCTTATTGTTTGAAAAATATTCTTTGGGGATCTGGTGAAATAATCTCTTCTTTAAAACTCTTTCTCTTCCCAATAACTGTTCGATTTTTAACATCACATTCCCCATATGATAATTTCTGACTAAAAAATACATTTTAAGAAGGAAAAGACTTCAAATGGATGGCCTGCCTCATTCGAACAGCAAAAGAAGTTATCACATTATCAAACTTGGCGATGACCTGCAATTTGTTCTTGTTACGTAGTCAACAGATGGCAATATGGTTAGGTCATTTCTTTAGCAAGTTCGCTCGACTATCTGCTGAGTTCGATGACATTACAACCTTCGATGATCTTTTTGAGATGTAAATCGAAGCAAAAAGAAAACAGTTTCAGCACGATAATGATTAGCCGAAGGAAGGGTATACTCAATACACGCACGTGTATCCATTTCTAAATAACCAGACAAAATATTTACTCTATATAATGAAATTATATTACCAGAGATACCAGGGTGTTATCCAAACGAAGGATGTTCAAGAAAAGCCGAAGCCAAGAACTATAATTACAAATGTTTAATGTTGAGAAATCAAGAGCAAAAGTGTCCCTGGTAAATTGCTCACACCACAACCGTTCAGAATTGTTAAAGAGGGTTTCCAAATATCAGGAAAATCATTATTAAAAAATCACAAACCTTGCTCTGCAACACCCGCACACAGTACGCCATATCTGCAAACCAGGCAGAGGACGAAGAGAGATGAAGGTGCAGCGTTACGTCACAGAAGTAGACACAGCTGCCATCTACCGAATCAGGAATACACGAATGCAGCCTCTGCGATAATTTTCAGAAATAATTTTCAGTAACTGTGCATGTAATGAAATGCATTATTTAGACAGAATTTCAGAGTTCAAAATTCAGACAAACAATAATGAAAATATTTAACCAGTTGATTTAAAATGTATGTCTAATATACAACGAATAATGATGTAATGAAAAATAAGAATAGTAGCAATGCTATCTTTCAATTAGTTGAACTTTCACCCACAGGATAGCGTTAGAACAAACAAACCGGGCCATTTCAAATCACGGTTTTAATACAGCTCGCCATGATGGGGAAAAATGAAATGCATTATTTTTCCAAGAGTGAACCACAAATATTATTTAAGTTACTGATGTGAATTGCGCATAGAGTGCTATGAGATTACATTCTCTTCGGGGATACAAAACATTTCGGCGTGTGTAGTATGTGTATACACGGCGTTCCGGTACCTCAGGAATAATATATTTATATATATATTATATATAGATATATATATATATATATATACTATTATATATACATACACATACATACATAGATATATTTCTGTAGAAAACTCCCTCTTGCACGAATACAATCCATTTGAAGATTTGATAGATATGGACGTAGAAGTGAAGAATACCTTGCGACTCACGTGCTACCAACGTACTCACGTGCCACATCGGTCCGCACACTCACACGTGCATTGCTGATCGTTGGTTGCTAAGCGATCTCGCAGAAACTCTCCGGTGCATCTCGCGACTGTCCGGTATGGAAGAGCAAGCATTATTCCCAACAGCTTCCATCAATTCCCTGTGACATTCTCAGGCATTTCTCCCGTGGAAAACGGCTATCTTGAAGTATGAGCGCTAATCGAAACGAGTAGCTCGCACAAGAGTAGTCTCACAACTGATTGTACATTGCTCTCGGTGCTAATAGAGACACATAGCCTTCTGTTATGAACATACATTAGAAAGGCATTTCTTACAACCGCCAATTAAAATTATGTGATTCGATAACACACCTTTCAGGAAAAAAATAATTGCCATGACTTCTACTCAACCCTTTCATAGTAATTTAGACAATTAAAGAATAAAAGTAAGCATACAACACCAATTGTTCAGGACATCAACAGGAAAGGCTACGTAATTATCAATAATCGGATTTGATATTCCTACATGACGGTAATACGCATTGTCAACAAGACCGTAACAGTACAAACGGTGAGTGGAACAAAAACAAGTGCCAGCAAGTGACAGGTTCAAGAAATCACACAAACTACGAGTAATAGTGAGTTACATGGTAATAGTAATTCTACATACCGAGATCGTACTATATCGTTCTACTCTTTTTACTCTCCGCACTCTCAAAGCCAACCTTCTGAAAGCCTTCTCACGCCTAAACAGTAATTTAGATCAACATGTCCGAAGGTTGGAAGAGGTCGTTCTCTACACAGACGGTTGTGTACAAGTCGGCAACACTGCGAATCTTCCCAACGGTGCACTCGTGACTGCACATAAGACACAGACACCACATCCAGTCGCAACTCAAAACAGGTTTAGTGTTCAGATTATGAAACAGATTATCCTCCCCTTCCTGATCCGCACAACCCTACTCTACCATCGACAAATACAGGCACAAACCAACGCAAACAGGCTAGGAATCGCGTCAAAACCAAAGCACGTAAAGCTGCACGTCCTATCCTACTTTAAAATAAAGACATTCCTACTGTGCCTAAAAACAAGTACTTATTTTAACTGACAGTCATGGCCGCCATCTTTCTTTCATTCTCAGTAGGAAGTTACCCTCCAACTACTCAGTCTCATCTATTTTTTAACCTAATGGAAGGTTGGTAGAGGTGTCTGTAGAGTTGGACACTCACACAAAGACACTGACCAATCAGGACACAGTCATTATCGACACTAACATTGTAGTTTCGACTCTGCCCTTCTGGTACAACAGACCAACACTATGCAGCGAGATTAAGCACGCAAACCCCACAATTAAAACTGCAACTGAGATAAACAAATGTAACACTTTTTTAAATGAATTTCTTCTCAGCAAAACACTTCACCCGGCATGGTCTTCACATGAACCTTGCTGGAAACGTACAATCTTGCACAACACATCATCTCCTCCAGTCCTATGCAGTCTGCTACCAAAAATTCATCCCTTTCACCTTCCTTATGTTCTTCACCCCCACCCTTATTTCGAACCCACTTACCACCTCCTCCTCTGATCCTTCTCCCGTTTCTCTCACTCCTACTACCAATTCTCCTACACCTGATGCCTCTATTTCCTCACAACGTGTCACTGCACATTGCAATCTTCGACCACGCACCAGAGGAAAAAAAGGAGTAAAATTTCTACTGCAGTCAGATGCAGTAGAAAGACATCCGTGTAGATACTTGCAAAAAATAAACACACTGCACCATCATGTTCAATCCTTTTCAAATAGAATTGAGTTTATCGAAGCAGCTCTATAGAGCTATTTAAATCAAATAGATATTTTTTGCTTTACAGGTCAGTAATAATTTCATAATGAACTTGGCATTTTCCAAATTCAAAATTTTTTCCTTGCAGGCTATTACTGTAGAGAAAATAATCACATAAAGGTCCTGCATGTAGGGGTTCTTGCATTTACGTTAGAAATAATATTAATTCTATAGAAAAACTGGCAACCAAAACATCCTACAAAATAGAAATCAAAGATCTTCCCACCAACTCACTCCACTACAATCTGACACCCATTTCCCTTTTCTTTCATAAATACCAACTCTCAACAACTTTACCCACATTAGTACCACATCCCAGGCCCGCCCAAATCCTATCAATTCAAATTCAACCAACCTTCCCCAGGAATCACATCATAACAATCCTATTATAAATTCAATAATTGATGCAATTACTTTCTATATAATCAACGCCATAAATACCCTTATACCCACCAAAATCAACACAATTCAAAATTCATTTTCCGCCTACATTAACGAAAATAATAGCAACACAATACCTTAAAGGTTTTACTCTCGCCAAATGGAATGCTGTTTAACTAATAAAAACAGAACTAATTAACATCTTATTAAATTCACATCATGTCGATGTAATTTGTATCACAGAAATTCACTTAAAGAAACAATAAATACATTTTATATCCCAAACTACTCAATTTACGGAGTTGACAGAAATCTAAACAAAGGAGGAAAAGGAGGAGGAGGAGTGTTAATAGACATTAATAAAAATATACATTACCCAATAATTATTCAGTGTACTCATAATATAGAAACTGTTGCAATTAAAATATAAATTAAAAATGAAACATGGACTAAAATTGCAACATACAATCCTCCGAATCATAAACTTGACCTGGACAACTTTAGTAAACTGTTCCAACTAAATAAAAACATACTTCTAGGGGACCTAAATGCCAAAAATACAAACTGAGGTTGTTCGAACACCAACGCTAATGGAGAAATATTAGCTCAAATAGTAAATCGCACTACTCTCTAATTAATTTCACCTCCAGGCCCCGCATATTACTCACACGATCACTTAAGAAATACTGATATTCTCGATATCGGGATTACTAACGCTAAAATTAAACTACATGCTACTACGTTATTCGAACTAGATTCGGATCACATTCCGGTCTTAATAACCACACATCAACACCCCCACCGCACGCCCAGTTACCAAATCTAAATACGTTAAAAGTTGATTGGAAACAAATTCCAAAATTTAACTAGCTCAACAATACCTAAATTTAAATTTCACTTCAACCCACTAAAAATAGAGCAATCAATCAACAAACTAACCACCGTAATACACACCACAATTAAAGAGACCGAATTAAAAACAAAGAATACAAACAAAGATAACAATATAAACTTCCACCAGAAATAGTAAATCTAATACAATTGAAAAACAAAACCCGCAGAACATGGTCACAACTAAGAACACCAGGGCTAAAACTACAACTTAACATACTGTAACGAATATTGCATCACCTGCCGGATTCGCTGCGCGCGGATTGCGTCATCTGCCGGCCCTTCCCCCCGAACTGGACGGTTCCGGACTATTCGCGAGTCGCGGGGAAACGCGGAGAATGTGCCGGGTGTATCGAGACGAGCGCCGGCCAGATATAAATGCGCCGCTGCCGGCGGCCGCGAGTCAGTGAGTAGTAAGAAGTCAGTCAGTAGTAGTCGGCCAGTAAGAAGTTAGTCAGTGCAAGTTAGTGTGTCAGAGTAAGTCAGTGTATGTAATCAGTGAATAAGCAGTCAGTCCGTCAGTGTGTTCGAAGTGGAAGCTGTGCTGTAAAGTGTGCATTGCGGTGAACAGTGATGCAGTAAGTGAACAGCAGTCAGCGGTTTGAAGTCTGCAGTGGAAGCTGAGCTGAGAAGTGTGCATCGCGGTAAACAGCAGTGCAGTAGACCCTGGTCTGCGCAGGGAATTGTGGTCAGTGCAGTGGACCGTGGACAGTGCATCGGACTGGGTGATACTGTAGAAGATGAGAACAGTGTAAATAAATAGTGTGTAAGAAGTGAACTGTGTAAATAAATAATCAAGAGAACGGAGTCGTGTGTAAAGAAAAATAATTAAGTGAAGAACACAAGGACTGTGTAAAATATACCTGTATACAGATCAAGTAGTTTTTAGTGTTAGTAGTTTTAGTGTATTATTGTTCACGAATAAACGTTTTTGTGTAAATACCTGTGAGTTGGTTTTAATTCATCCAGGAGAAACGTTACAATACTAATAAATTTAGTGCGCAAATCAATCAAAAACTTCAATAATTAGCATTTTCAAACACTAATCCAATTAGCGAACAACAAATCCATTTGGAAATTTACAAACAAAATATAAAGAAAAAAGAATACCATCTCCTCACTAGACACCCCCACAGGAAAAATGTACCCACCTGCTCAAAAGCCGAAGAGCTAGCCAATTACTTTGCTTCTACATTCACCCTGACCGCACCCTAGTCATCTCACAATCAACAAAACAGTAAACGAACAGACTTATGGCCCTCATCATAAAATACACTACACATCACCCAAAGAAATAAATAAAATCATCAAATCACTACCTGTCATAGTAATCCCTCTCGACATTTCTCAAGCCTTCGATAGAACATAGTACCAAGCTCTAAAGTATAAAATAAAATAAATAGGAACTCCACATTATCTTACACAAATCATTTCCGACTTCCTTGACAATAGAACTTTTGCCGTTACAGTTGATAACCATCACTCTAATCCAAAAGCGGTTGAAGTAGGCCTTCCAAAAGGCTCCCCGTTATCTCCCGCTCTTTATAACTTGTACGTAGTCGATCTTCCGAAACATAATAAAATAAAAATAGCCCAAAATAGTAAATGACACGGCTATCTATTCATCAGGTCCCACCAAAAACTCAATAAAAATCGATCTTCAATTATACCTACACCAAATTGATAGCTGGGCATATAAAAATAAAATTAAAATAAATCCGTCAAAAACACCAGCAAAAATATTTTTCTTAAAACCTTACGCTCCCCCTTACAGATGAATCAAGGACCTGTACAAGGGCATAATAAACTCACGAAAGCCTTTTCTTAGACACCCGACGGTTGGAAAAACCATATCGACAATAAAGTTATTCAAGCAAAAATAAAACTGAACCCACTAAAACCAATAATAAATAAATCAGCTTAACTGCAATACTGCATTATTGGTGTATACAAATATCATACGACCACTACTATTATATACATGCACAGTTTGTAACGGCACAGCCAAATCTAATACAAACTCGAAATAATCCAAAATCAATTCCTCCGTACCATCACGAATAGCACATGGTACATCTCCAATTCACAACTTCATAAAGAATTCAGCTAGAAACGATAAACAACTATATCATTTTTGTATCCACCCTCTTCTTCCATAACATCTCAAAGATACCCTTCGTAACCCCACTAAGACTCTGCCAAAATCCAATACACAGAACCTGCATCGGGAATAAATTTCATTTCCATATATATTGTGACGTCGTCGGGTGCGAGTAACACACAGACACGGAGTTGTTTTATAAAGATTTATTTACAAGTTTTTATACACTATATACACTCCTCGGAAACTAGCGCTGCACTCCCAGCACTGCACATCTCTGAGGCATCCCCGCCCCAGTCTGACGCAGACCCCAGCGGCTTGGCGCCGCTCCTGGTCTCTCGTCCCAAGGCAACCGCCACATCTCGCTGCCAAAGCTCGCGATAACCCCTGGCGGGAGAATCGTGCCTTCTGCACCGCGATTCCGTTCGACAACGAATGACCACGGCTGGTTACTCTCCAGCCACCTCGCGAGGCGTCACGTGAGAGACCTCCCATGCCGGCGGCGTCCTCTCATCCC